TTGTGCTGCATTTCCCTTATAACGTTCAGGTTTCTGATTTTGTGTCTTGCTAAGGAAATCTTTTACCATGTCTAAATTACAAAAAATAATCCAAGGCCTGGTGAATCTTCTGGTCCTGTGGTCACCCAGCATCACTACTTCTACAGGAGGAAAGCATCAGCTCATTCTTCTGGGTTTTCTGGGGCAGCTGGGCATCCTGCTTGGAGCCATCCTGGGCTGGAAGTCCCTCCCTCTTCCCCTCTCCTAGCCTCCGCGCAACTTCCTCTAAGCTCCCCAGCCCCTACCCTAGGCTTTGGCCAGCCCTCCTCGATGTGCTCCCTCCAAGAGCAAGGGAACAACTTCAGGGGATACCCACCCTAGCAGCAGCTCCACTACAGCGCCCGCTGCCTCCTTTTGGGGGTCCCCAGCAGCAGCAGGAGAAGACCTAGTCCCTTCTTGGAGCTTTGCTGGGCAGCCACAGGGGCTCTGGGGAGATGGATGCCTGACCTTGGACCTCAGAGCTCTTTGGTTGCAGGTTGTCTGCTCCTGGTACCTCTCCACTGTAAGGAAACCTTAGCATCAGGTCCCTTGTGGTCCTCTTTGGAGGTGGGCAGAGCCAGACAGGTTTGCCTTCATCATCTCAGTGAAGACTCCATGTCCAAGTTTTCTTCTGAAGGGCCTGATGGGCCCAGGTCCTCAGGACCTCGAGCACAAGAGAAAGCTGGGGTCCAAGAATCTGGGGTGAGCCTCGGAAAGGCGCTTTAGGACAAAGGCTGGGAGGGGCGCTGCCCGGACAGTCCCTCCAGCCTGTGCTCCCCCATCTTCTGCTCTGTTGGGCACCACCAGCGACTCATACTCTCACCCACCCCTTACCTATGCTCTGAAAGTTCTTTTATTAATGTCTTAAAATTAAAATTTTATGTTATATTGGAGTGTAGCTGATTTACAATGTTGTGTTACCTTCAGATGTACAGCAAAGTGATTCAGTCATTCGTATATCCACCCCCTTTTAGATTGTTTCCCGTATAGGTGATTACAGAGCACGAGTATAGCCCACTGCGCTGTACACTAAGTCCTTGTTGGTTATCTATTTTATACATCAGTTCAGTTGCTCCGTCGTGTCCGACTCTTTGCGACCCCATGGACTGCAGCACGCCAGGCTCCCCTGCCCATCACNCTTTAGTTCTTCTTCACTTTCTTTTTATATACAGTAGTGTATATATGTTAATCCCAGCCTCCTAAGTTTTTCTAGTATTTCTGTATAGTGGAAACTCTTTGTGTCTGCTACAGTGGATCTTTCCCAACCTCATGTTCAGTGGGTTTAATTAGTAGCTTGAAAGCAATGATGATGAGAGAGCGACAGCACAAAAATCAGCAAATGCTACCAAACAGGTCTTCAGGAATCATTTTGTTAATTCTCCAGACTTTTCTGGGCAACAAGCATGGAGAAAATGTTAATAATGGAGATTAAATTTTAAAATATATCTGTTTTCATTGCATTGTCAATAATGCCATAAAATTGAGGAACTACTCTTGCAGTATTTAAAAACTGTTTTTCAATTTAATCAAGGAGAAGTTCACATAGTAGACCAACAAAGTATAGTTAAGGCAAATTTCTTACTCCTTAATGGAAATGAAAACATCTGGGAACTACACTCAGAGAGAACCCATTTCACAGGTATTGCCACACTCCTGATTATAAAGCATCTGAATAATGAAAGTCTCTCTTCCTTTCAAAAATTACATCTCACTCATTTCTTTCTTTCTTTCTTTTTTTTTTTCTCTTGCACCTGCTGTGTGGGTTGGGACTCCAGAACAATGTGAAATAATGGTAGTGTTATTTGGCATTCTTGATTTGATCCTTATATTAATATTTCTATTTTATCATTGAGAATGCTGTTTACTCTGGTTTTGGTAGATACTAGTTAGAAGTCTGGAATTTAATTTGAATACTTTCCTTCTCACTAATAGGAAACTTCTACAGCCTGTTCTTAGTAAAATTTCCTATTTGAAAAAAAATTCTTCCATTTTCTACAAATCTCTATTTTCTTTCCAAAATTTTATGACCATATGGATTCCAGAGTCCTTGCAGCATTTGGCACAGTCCCACCATTAAACACAACACCTCTTTATGGCTCCTTGAAAACCTCGCCTAGACTCGTGTTTCTGCCTCCTCGACTGCCACGTCTGTCTTGCCCGCTGCACACGTGCCTTTATCCTCACCCCAAACCCAGCATCACTGCAGCCACTCCTGTCAAAGTCACAGAGGCTCCGTTTTGCCAGATCTAATGGTCCTCACCTCAGCAGCATTATTATTGTGCCCTTGACCTTCTCTCCTTGAATCTCTTTCTCTTCTTGGCATCTGGACACTATACTCTTCTGGACTTTTCTTTCTTTTTTTAACTATTTATTTATTTGATCCTGTCAGGTCTTAGTTGTGGCACTCGGGATCTTTGGCGAGCTTCCCTCTAGATGTGACACGTGGTTTCCAGAGTGTGAGGGCTCAGTTGTTGCCCTGCAGCATGTGGGATCTTGGTTCTTTCAACATGGATGATCCCTGAATCCCTGCATCCCTTGCATCAGAAGGTGGATTCTTAACCTCTGGATGCCACCAGGGAAGTCTGTGTTCTTGGCTTATCCCCACTTCATTATCCTCTACTTTTCAGTTTTCTTTACTTGTTCCTCTTCCTCTGCTTGGCCTCTAAACGCAGAAGGTCCTGCTATCCTGAGGGCTCAGTCCTTAGCCTTCTTTTCCATCTATTTCCATGACTTTGAGAGCATGATATTTGCTGATGATTCCCATGTTTAGATTTTCAGTGGACTCCCGTCTAGAGTATTCAAATACTTAACTCTTTTATCCACGTGTATGTTTCATCAGCATTTCAACCTTCACCAAGCCCAAACCATACACTCAGTCCTCAGCCCCTTCCCCACATCCACTTTGGAATCATTCTTTTCTGTTAGTGGTGCTACAAGTTGTTTATACCACAACCTAAGGCCTCACAACACAACCTGTCAGTAAGTACTCTGTTCTTCTCTTTTAAAAATACACCCTAAATCCAGCCCGGCTTCTCTCATAGCTCAGTTGGTAAAGAATCTGCCTGCAATGCAGGAGACCCTGGTTCAATTCCTGGGTTGGGAAGATCCCCTGGAGGAGGGAAAGGCTGCCCANTTAAAATACACCCTAAATCCAGCCCGGCTTCTCTCATAGCTCAGTTGGTAAAGAATCTGCCTGCAATGCAGGAGACCCTGGTTCAATTCCTGGGTTGGGAAGATCCCCTGGAGGAGGGAAAGGCTGCCCACTCCAGTATTCTGGCCTGGAGAACTCCATGGACTGTATAGTCCATGGGGTTGCAAAGAGTCAGACACGACTAAGCGACTTTCCCTTCACTTCACTAAATCCAGCCACTGCTCACCATCAATATCACTTCCCATTTGGTCAAGACCCCACTCCTGCCTCTTGTCTGGGGGCCACAGGAGCCTCTGAATCATCTCTGCTTTCATTCTTCCTCCATCCATAGCAACTACAGAATCAATATATATCTGAGGTATAATTGACATAGAACATTCCATTAGTTAATGATTTGCTATTTATGTATATTGCAAAATGATCACCACACTGCATCTAGTTAATATCCATCACCACACATAGTTAAATTTTTTCTGCTTGTGATGAGAACTTTTAAGATCTATTCTCTTAGCAACTTAATGTACAAATAATTCATGTTGTTCTTTGTGCAAAAAGAAAAACAAGGAGACAATATTTTGCGGCATTCTGTTATACTTAGGAAAAAGAAATTCCAAGCTCTTTGGAGCCTCCCATCTGGCCCTCCACTCTCATCTTGCATCCCGCTCTGCCTTGCCCATCCCGTGTTCTCTGCACTAGGTTTCCTACAGTTCCTGAAACACGCTAAGCTCTTTCATGCCTCCACGCTTCGCACTTGCTGGTTTCTCTGCCTGCAGTACTCTTCCTACAGAGTTTCCATGTGTCTGCTTCCTTCTTATCACTCTGGCCTCTCCTCAGAGAGCTTTCTTCTAACCACCTAGATCCAAATGACTACTCTTCCTCACTCCTGGCTTATTTCCTCACCCCACTGATCAGTATCTGAAATTACAGTATTTATTTATTTGGCTGTGCCAGGTCTTAGTTGAAACCTGCGAACCTTTGATCTTTGTTGTGGCATGCAAGATGCAGCCGCACATGGGATCTAGTTCCCTGAGCAGGGATTGAACCCAGTATTGGCAGAACAGAGTCATAGCCACTGGACCACCAGGGAAGCCATTACACTATTTATTTATTCATTTAATATGTTTATTGCCTGACTTTCTCCTTTGGAATATAAGCTCCATAAAAGTAGGGAACTCATTTGTCTCATGCCATGTTATATTCCCAGACCCTAGAACAGCACTTTATATACAGGAGAACACAATCCATATTTGTTCAATGAAGGAAGGAATAAAGATATAAATGACTCATTTGGTTATAAATGATAGATAACCCAACTGAAATAGGCTTAAATAAATAAAAGACTATATAGGTTCAAGAACTTGAAAAGTCCAAAGGTAAATGTAGTTTCAGGCTCACCTGGATCCAAGAGTTTATTAAACATTGTCACTAAGTCCCCTTCTCTCCACCTCTTGGATATGTTAGTGTTAGACAGTGGTGCCTTCACAGCAGCAAGACACCAGCAGCATCTTCAAGCTCCCTCTTCTAGTTGACAATCACAGGAGAAAATGGTGATTTTTCTCTTTCCAACAGAGTCACAAGGTCCTAGAATTGAGTCTCAATGGATCTGACTGCACCATGTACCCTTCCCTGGACCAAACCCCAAGAAAAGTGATGCTCTAATCTTCAGGTCGGCAAAGGCAACTCATGGGCCAAATCCAGTCTGCTTTCTGATTTTGTAAATAAAGTTTTATTGAAAAACACTTCACAATTCAATGTGTTTTGTCTGTAACAGTCTTTATGCCATAATGTCAGAGCTGAATATTTGAACAGAGATCCTTTGGCCCATAAAGGGGCCAAATATTTGGGACACCTGAAATATTTACTATCAGGGGCCCACAAAAGAAAATGTGTGCCTGTTCTTCTAACTGACCAGAAGGTCATTGAACCAACCCTAACCCTGGCTGGACAAGGCTTATGTGCTGTGAGTTTTCAATGTTCATTGCTGTGTATCAAACCACCACAACACTTCATGTCTTAAAGCAGTGATTTACTATTTCTCATAATTTGTGGATTGGTTTATTTTAGTTTCTATATAGATCTGTTCTCTTTTGTTCTTGATCAGACTCTCAAAAAGCTTTGCTACTTTGGGCACTTTTAAAGAAACATATTTTTTTGTTGTTGTTGTTCAAAAGCACTTAAAAAAAACTATGTCAGACAAAAGCTGAAATTAATGAGTTTTTATAATTATTTGAGTTAAAAGTTTAGATAATATATTTTCCATATTCTGAGTTTTAGAATAATGAAATACAGCTCTGCCTTTTCCTCTGAGTAGTAATTTGACAACATTCATAGGTTTTATATCCAGGATTCTTGTTTTCATTTGTCTGTCAATATTCTGTAGTTCCATCTGCTTTCACATTCCCAGAGTCCTCTTACTTTCTGGCCTTTGGATGGCTGTCATCTCCCTGTTACTTTGCTGTTTGGGATTTTTTTTTTTTTTTTTTTTTTTTTGTGGTATCCAGTCTCCAAGAAGAGCTCCCAGTGATCTTGTTCTCATAGTCACATTCCTGCAGATTCCTCCCTACTTTGTATGAAAGTTAGTCTGTGTGACTAATAGAAGCTAGACTTCTGATGCTAGGTCATGAAATACACGGTGACTTCCACCTTGACCTTTGTTACTTTGTGAGGGAAGCCAGGTGCCTCACAAGGTCACTCAAGCAGCCTCCTGGAGAGGCCCTCGTGGTGAGAAACTGAGGCTTCCTGTCCTCAGCCATGGGAGTGAGCTTGGCAATCAGTCCTTCAGGTCCAGTCAAGTCTTCAGACAACTGTAGCCCTGCCTGACCGACATCTTGATTACAGCCTCCTAAGAGACTCTAGGCTGGAAACTGCTCCCTAATTCCCACCAAGCTGTGCCATTAAAAAAAAAAAAAATCATTATTTTAAGCCCTCAAGTTTGCTACTCAACAGTAAAAAACTAATATAAGTTTGAAATACTTTTAAACTCAGATAGATTTTGAAAAGGAGCAAAAAAATGCATGCATTCTGTCTTGAACTGTAATCCCACTTTCTGTTTCACTTAAAATATTCCGTAGCTATTTGGACAAGATAGGTATTTCATAGACTTCCCAGGTGGCACTAGTTGTAAAGAATCTACCTGCCAATTCAGGAGAAGCAAGAGACATGATTTTGATCCCTGGTTCAGGAAGATCCCCTGGAGTAGGAAATTGCAACCCACTCCAGATTCTTGACTGGGAAATCTCATTGACAGAGGAGCCTGGCAGGCTATAGTTCATGGGGCCACAAAGAGTTGGTCATGGCTGAGTGACTGTGCACACACACACATATATTTACAAAGAAAAAATTATTGAGAGAAATAGAGGTCCATAAAGAGAAAATATCAGTATTACAATTGCAAAAGATATTTTAACCCCTGTAAGTTTGTACATGGTTTGTATCACAGCAAATAAACACCCGGCATATGAACATAAACATAATAGGAAAGAACTTCTAAGTGAACATGTTGCTTGGCAACTAAAGAAAAAGAAACAAAACCTCAGTTTCAGTAAGACACCTCCCCATTATCTCAGAGTGGATTCAGTTGTTGTGGTGAACAGTCAAGTGTTTAGAGGGAAAACCCAAGTGTGATTTCTTCTGTTCTATTTGGACCAAGTTTCTCTTATGTTTAATATTTTGAACTGGAACTTCCACTCACTTCTCCCTAAGTTGTTCTAAAACTTTGAGAATTCTTCCTCTTTCACTGTTTCCTGGTGATACCTGTGACAACCTTCACCCCTTCTCTCATCTCCCCCACCACCCAACACTCACGAAGGTTTCTCCTAGCCCCAATTTATTTTATTTATGTATTTGAGTTCAGATACTTGAGAGGAACTCTCTGCCTTTTCTTTGTTTCTTAACAAAAATCAATTCCAGGTGCTTTCTAAGTATCTCTTGAAAAAAATGTGTCTGCATGGGTCTCTCTTCAAATGGAAAGTGTTTCTTTGAAAATGCTTGAAAAAAATCACATTCTAAGAAATGAGATTAAAGTTGTTTGTGCTGCCAAATTTTTAGCAGACTTTAGTTACATTATTTCCTGTGTTGTTGTAGTTTCAAAAATGTATCAAGTTGCAAAATAGAGCATCATAGAACTGCATGTAACTGTTTCCTGTTACTTCTGAGTGACAGATTTACTCCAGCTGAAAATTTATGATGTGTGTGCTAAACAGCACCATATAACTGCATAACTCAGGCATTAGAACAACACATTCCAGAATACTGGAATTTTAACACGTTGTGTTAAATTAGTAGAATTCGCACAGTGCGGTAAGCACAACCTTTGTAGCCAGCCACTCTTTGAATGAGTTCAAATCCTGGATGTATGTGTCAGCTGGTGGACATTTGGTGTCGTACTTTCTCTCTGCCCCAGTTTTCTCCTCTGTAAAATTGAATGATAATATGTATTTGCAGAGTAATATGAGGGTTAAACATGGTAACATATCATAAAATATAGGCTACAATTAAAGTGCTCAATAATGCTGATTTTATACACACACATGACATACTATGATAAAGTTTTCTAGCTATAATAATTCTAACAGGCTTATACTATTCATATTCTAAATTACTATTTAGGTTGTAAAATGTGTCTAAACTGCCAAGAAAAGCAAAACTGTAAAATAGTAACTTTAAAACTCCTATGCTTCAAAAAAATTTTTAATGATATCCTTTCAGTTTTAATTTACATCATAAATCACTTAAATGGAGTGAGGCTGGGATAGGGTTAGGACCGTCCTGTGGGAATAGATGGGAAATAGAAATACTGTGTCAAGATAAGCCACCTGTAATTTATTAATCACACACAGACACACACCCAGACACACTTTTGACAAACTGGCAATACATGTGTCTCAGATATTGCCTAGGTTGCTTAAAACATGGTGCTAATGAAACCAAGATTTGCAGGTCACTTAATTTCTGTAAGAATAAAAAGTCCCCAGTGTCTTAGGGTAGCTGGAAAGAGAACTTGAGGAAAGGATAGATGGGGTAACCCAAGCCAGGACCACAGCTGAATAAACAAAGTCAATGGCTGCTCAATTAACAGTGAGTCAGTAGCACCGTACTCCTGTATCAAGGGAAGAACATATAATTCCTAAATGTCTAAAGCCTGGAATTAATGTCTGTGACCTCAGTAATACCAAGAGATGAATTGTGAGAATGAAGATTGTTCTCATTTTCTTGGTAAAGATAATATTTTTAAAGAAACAAACTGAAAATCACTTTTTGGGACATCATGTTTAGTTTGTATAGTCATTTTCATTGCAGGCTGATTTGCTAATATATGAGTGAACAAGTCCAATTTAGGGAGTTGAACGGTGCAGTATGGTATTGAGTGTGTAGTTTCTTGCCTTACAATTCCTATTATGATTTTTAAAGTTACTTAAAATTGTTTCTAAAGACCTCCCCTGAGCTTGACATCAGGAACTTACAGTTGTACTTGGTTGAGGCCCCTGTTCTCAGTGGGATTAGCGTGGGGAAGAGAAGACGGAAGTTGATCAAAGGCAGGGTTCCCTCAGTGAGGATCTGGGAAGTGGGAGGGGTTTACATGAATTCTGAAGATGTTGCCCTCCATTCAGTCATTTATCAAACATTTGTTGAGCGCCTACTATATGCTGGGTCCTGAGCTGAGCAAAATTGCTGTGACACTGGCCACACTGAGTTGGTATTCTTGCAGGAAGATGGTAGGTAAACAAGTAAAAGAATGCATAATTCCAAATTCGCATAAGTACCACAAAATGAATAGGGGGCTGTGCAGGAGAAGAAACACAGAACAATTTCAGATAAGGAAGGAAGGGATAGCATCTCTAAGGAAGCAGCCTTCTTAATGGAGGCCCAGAGGGAAAGGAGTCAGATATTTGATGAGGCTAGGAGATCATGTTCTAAGAGAGAATATCTCCCCTGAAGGCGTCCACGGAGGAAAGGGTTTGCCATGCTAGTGGTGGTATATACACTGTTGGCAGGGGTGGAATATAATAATCTAGGTGAAGAGTTGTGAGTGATGAGATTGGGGAAGTGAGGTTTTGATTGTACAGTAAAAAATGTGAATTTGGTGGTAGGTGTGATGGAAGTTATTGATTTAAGTAAGGAGGTAATGATTGAATTTATTATATTCTTACATGGTCACTGAGGTTGATGAGTAGAGAAAAGACGAAGGTGGACAAGAGTGGGAAGTAGAGAAATCAAATAAACATCTATGTTTTCAATAACTTAGGACAAAGATGATGACAGCTTGAAACACGATGATGGCAGTGGAGATGGAAGAACCAATAGTTCTTGATAGGCTGAATGTGGAAGCGAAGAGAGGGAAGAAGTAAAAATTACTCCCAGGTTTCTGATAGGATATAATTAGGCAGTTGGAGGTGGCTAAGATGGGGGAGAAACAGGTTTGGGAAGGAAATCAAGAGCTCGGTTCTGGAGCTAATGTGGTGAGCTCCCCTGCTGGGTCCGCATAGATGTGCTATTTTCATCTGAAGCGTCTGGGACTGGGTGGATAGTTCCACATCTTGTCACCCCTAGAAACAGATTGCCTCTCCAATCTTATGCTCACTCTTTGAGGAGAGCCTTTCCCTCTCCAGTTCTTTATTCCAACCACATCTATTCTTCGATCTCCTTGAAGCCTCCACTTAAGAAACCTTTGACTTTTCTGCTCAGTTCACCTGTTTTCTTCTGGTCAAGCTTGGCTCCTACCGAGTCAGCAGATTAACAACATGACCCACTTTCTCAGTAACCCTCTTGGTCCCCAGTGTTCTTTTTCTTTCAGGTTGTGCAAACATTCATTCAATACATTTTTGTAGAATACCCTACCTTAGTGGGAAAGTCAAGGTTCGTTTTATTCATAAAATCAGAGACAGCCTCTGAAAAACTGACTGATGCTTCCAAGCACGTTTTCCTTCAGTTTGAAAGGGGAAAACTTCAGGATAGTTTCCGTTAGATCAACAAGGATAATGCTGGGATCAGAGGCCTGGGAGGAAGTGGAGAGATGGCTTAAATTAACCTGTTCTTCCATGAAATGAGGTCTTTTGGAAGCAGTTCTAAGAGAGCTTACTGGAGCCATGAATGATAGTTTGCCAGCCCTGTAGAATCTAGAAATCCAATTGAATTGATCAAATTCTATATTTGGATGAGGTCCTCAAGAGATACCCAGTTATACTTTTTTCCTTGACCTTTTTTTGGATCGTTTTTCTCTTTGTTCTTCAGGTGTGTCCTTTCTTTCTAAGACTGGTTAATTTCTAGTGATTTGTGTTCAGATTCACAGACCCTCTCTTCTTCTTCACTGGCAGTGAAGCCTACCCAGGAAGCTTTCTTCATTCCAGGTAGTACACTTGTCAGCTCTAGAGTTTCGTTTGGGCCCTTCTTCCCCTTTTCCTTCCTTCCCCTTCTTCTGTTTAAATTGTAGTTTCCACTTCTTTTCTGAGATTCTCCATCTCCATTCTCACTCATTATGCCCATCTTACCCTTTATATTTTGGAATTTATAATATCTGCTTTAAAATTCAAACCTGATAATTCCAACATCTTAGTCATTCAGAATATATTTCTACTGACTGATTTTTCTTTTAAGTATGGATTACATTCCTCTGGCTCTTCACATATATAGTAATTTTTATGGTATACAGGGCATTATAGATGACACATTGCAGACACTTCAGAATCTCTTATATTCCTTGAAGAGTGTTGACTTTTGTAACTGCAGGCAGTTATATTACTGAATGATCTATTTTAACTTGTGGAGTCTTGATTATTTAGGGCATGTCTGTTGATGTTTTGCTCTTACTCCTGGGGTGAATCCCTCAGTCCTGGGACATAGCATCTACTTGTCAGGAAGAGCCCTTCTATGGTTTCAAAAAAACAAAAACAAAAACAAAAAAGAAAACCCTGAGATGTCTACCAAACTCCTCTAATTCAGTAGGTTTCAAAATTCTGGACTTTGTTTGCTTTTTGGTGGGGATGGCTAGAGTCTCTGTTCAACTTTCTGTCTTGTGTCTTTTGTTTTCTGAAGACATTTTGCAGTCCACCAATGTATGCACAGTTTGAGTCGTTAGAGGGTTTGAGAGGTTTATATTCAGACTCTGGGGCCTCCTCCTTCATGGCTCCCTTTGTCCCAGGGTTTCCACCATCAGTATCCAACCACTCAGCCATGCCACTCTCCTTCTGTCCGTCAGTCCAGTAAGTCCACGGCTTTCTTCTTGACTCCCAGCCACCTTTATACTGCTTGAAGCTTTCACCTGACTTCTCCCCAGTGCCTTCAAATCATTAAAAAATTATTTGAGAGTTTATAATTGCTTTATCAAAAATAAGGCCAGCACAGTACAAGCTACTCCACTCTTATCAACACTAAAACCCACAGATAGCATTCTCATTGGTGAGTGCTAGCAGATGTGTTTGGCGGATGCAATGTGGTACATGTTGGGAAGCTATTCACAGCACCTGGCTTCTTGTCTCATTCATCCTCATATCACCTCAAAGTAGGGAGAAAAGAGGAGTTATCACTCTTCTCATTGTACAAAAGCAAAACCCCTAATAAAGAGAAGGGGAGAAAGTGCTTATGATCAGAGTATTTTAGCCAATGGATTGAGAGTGGGCTGTAAACCTTCACATTTATTTTGTTCTTGTTGGTCAAGGTTCAAATCAGTACAGCTATGAAAGCAAAAAAGTTGTATAGACGTGTGCATGCTCTCAGTTACAGCAAAACTTCATTGTTTCAGATGCTACTTTTTGGTGATTTAAAGTACAAATGTGATTCAATTTTGCATTGTCTATTAAAGAGTTTTGCAACTGAAAAACAATTAGAAATAGTAAAAGAATATACCAAACTGGTTGGTTTTAAAAGTAATACACAAAATAAAAAACTTTCCTAAACTCAGAAAAGAAGATGAAAATATCAAGTAAGAGAGACAGTGTTCACCCAGTCACAACAACAAACCAAAAATGTGAAGCACTTAGGAATAAACTTAAGGAGGAAGTATTCAAGGAATACTGAATTGCTTTGTGATTCAGCTCAAGGCAGTATTCAAGGCTGAATATTATCTAAATTGATAGATATCCCAATCAATTGGAGGAGATGGAGCAGGCCAGATGACTTAGGTTAGGCTACAGATTATTAAGAGGTTCAAGGAGTAGCCAGAGTCATTTTGGAAAAGAACAGAAAAAATGAACAGTATCCCTTTATAATACATTTTAACATATGGTATAATAAATGTAAAATATGATACACTACAGTGGTTAAAATAGTGTGGTAACATAAAAAATACACTGGTTAAAACTGTGGTAATTAAAATAAATACAGTAATGGAAAAGAACACAGAGTCCAGTATACATAAAAGTTTAGTATAAAAAGATATTTCAAATCAGTGCTGCATTGTATTTGGACAAATGGAAAGCCATTATACAGAACTGGATTTATACTTTATTCTTTGTACCAAAATAAATTCCAGCTCTATAGAAAATGTAAAAACTAAAAATAGAACTATGAGGTATTTAAAAAAAATGGGGCAAAATGTTTATAATTATGGAAGTCTTCCAATGGAGGAGAAAAGCATAGAAACCTTACTTCTTTTCAGTAGGAAAATAAGATCAAAACTATGAGTTTCTCTATTTGGAATAGAAATCAACTTTAATCAAAATGTAGTTAAGGAAAAATCTCAAGGTGGAAGCATTTTTATTTTTATTTTTTTTCAGGAATGACTGTGAGTAAACTTCTGACACTCAAAGAGAAAAACCTGAGACTCCTACCAGGACTTTATAAACTTATAGACTTCATCCTTGTCATATTAAAATTCTGCCTGACTGGGAAAAAAGGAACAGTAGGAATAATGTCCAGTTTTAAGGAGTTTATACGTTTAAGAACTATAAAACAGGCCTTCAAGAATAATTATTCTATACTTCTGAAGATGTGAATTTGAACACTGAACCTCTTTATTGCATGTAAGTGAAAGTTCTAATCAGTTTCACTTATTTTTATCTCTTATTTAAAAATTCCAAAGTAGATCCAACAGAGATGACATTTTTTATTAAGCAGGCATCAAGAGTCTATTCTATTATTAATGAGGCCCTAGACGTTTAAGACAAATAAGAAAAGCCTTCATGGTTCCCGGGACAGAACAACAGTGTGTGTGAGGACAGGCACGTCTTTACTGTCATTGAATGTGGACAGAGACCACGTCAATGTCAACAACTGAAAGATACAAAGGCATTTCCTTGTTCACCAGGTCAGGGGGACGGAGGGAACCCCAAGCCAAGTGCCGTTTATTTCCTCTTATCTTATAAGGAGTTATTATCTGAGCTATTTTTGGTCCATGGAGCTCTTCCAATCACCTCTATTCTGTGCAACACAATCAGCCAAGGCCGGGCCAGGGCACAATGACTGCCCTGTGCTGAGCTTCTAGGCTCTGGTCTGGGAATCAAAGTTTCACTTGGGTCTTGACTTGATAAACCATGTTCTGAATCGTGTCCCTAAATAGTCAAGTGTGATTCACCCCCATTGGTAAAAATAGAAACCTCACTGGAACAATGGGAAATGGGTTAAACGGCTTCTGTCAAATAAATAACAAAATAAATTAAGGCTCCAATGAATCTGTAAGTCTGAGTCTTTAAAAATCATGAAATATAAAATACAAGTTTTTAATTCTCTTTATCCCACCCTTCTCATAGGATTAGAGAAATTTTTTACTGAGTTACTACGCTGATCTGCCAGATTTCCTTATTATGGTCAAACAAGAAAGACAAATATTTTTTTTTTCTAGCTGCAGATATTTTTCATTCTTCTGCTGACGACAGTCAAATGGATATGAAATAAGCCAGGTAAAATGTAGAACACTTGTATTTTTAAGGTGTCTTTCCAAGGCATTTTCTCCCATTTGAATTAAATCATTTTTTAACCTTTTTGGCAAGTTGAAATCAAAACCTGAGTGGCCCTAAGGCGCTGCCTTGCTCCTAGTTTGGGCTGCGCTGCACGATGAGCTATTTTTACTGCCGGCTGGGAGCCATCTGGTTTTCTCTGTGAAGGTTCACGACGGGATTTTTCAGAGCAGCCAGTCACATGTCCTCTTTCCCCAAGTCCAGGCTGGTGACCTGGAGAGGAATGTGTGCGACACTCGAGCATCTCCAGCCTCGTTGTCCTCTTGCTGTTAGTTGATACTCATGGTCCTCAGGGCTGAACGCTGGGCTTAGCGGCTACCAACCGGCACTTAAGTCCCGTTTGTACAGTCAGTGATGACGTTTGTAGGCAGAGCTGGAACTGGGGTTTACAAAGCGCCTGGTAAATCACCTGGCATTTACCATCATGGTGGGATAAGGCACCCCCCACCGCCTCCCGCCCCATCACATTTTCGGCCTTGTTTCTGGGATCAGTGCGCCAGAAGAATGTGAAGGAACCGAGTGCCTTGTGACGGTAAAAATATGCTGTGGACAGACATTAGAAAAATAACCGGAGCAAACTTATGGGGAAGAAGAACTTGTCTCATTCTGCTCCAACAGCCTCAGGCAGGGCGCTCTCACACTTCTCTAGGAGCGAGCATTCCTGGGAGCTGCGGTGACTGTCACCCCACACCCCAGGAAAGCCTTGCTAGTGATCTGGACTCTTTGGTTGGTCTTTTTCGTTTAAAAAATTGCAACTGAAGTGTGGCCTGTCACCATTTGGAGAAGTGTAAGTTTCTTTACCTTTCAACACCTTTCAATTCAATGACTATTTATAAGGTGCCTGGAGGACCTACCCAGTCTCTGCACCTCTGACCTCTCACGTTTCCAGACGACAGCACCAGCATGGAGGAAAGCCACCCCCCTTCTCTGCAAGATAAACAGAGTTCTTTTCATTCTGCCAGACTGCTTTAGGTCCTAGGGTGTTTTGGTGACAGTACCTACTAGAAGTGCAGAAAAAAATCCCAGTAATTAATATGGGATTATACAAATGAAAATAATAGGTTTTCATCGACCCAAGAAAATTTTTCTGCATCATCACATCCCCCAAAGTCTTTGGTGTCTAGCTCTAGAATGGATGCTCACAGCCAGACAGCACTGGGTTAGGACAAGCCTCCGAGACTTAGAGGGTCAAGGTCAGCTGTGTCCTATGTGGACTTAATCGCTACACAGCAGATTTTTCCCTTTAAGGATTTTCTTAATATTGGTCCAAACTACTCCTCACCCCCTGGTCATATTTTCTTACTAATTGCTTCTACCACTTATTCAATGACTTCTTTCAACTACCAGCCAATGGTATTGACCCTGTCCATGAGGCAAACCTTCACTTAAAACCACTCTATGCGGTTGTTAAGAACACAGGCTGTGATGTCAGCTCCATCACTTAGGAGCTGTGGACAAGTCATGTAACCTCCCTGAGCCTCAACTCTCTCATCTATAAGAAGGAATAAAAATGATAATACCTACTTCACAGGGTTATGATGAGGATTAAAATAATCCTGGGGTCTGTAAACCAGTGAATGCCTGTGAACTTGAATGGGGTAATTAGTTACATCTGGCCCATTAGTTTTTCAAAATTTTGGTATCATTAAGCATGTCACTGGATCTTATTATTTAATGTGTTAAGAAAAAAAAAACCACTTTGATTATCATATAATTTTTATTGTGTCAGCAACAGTCTCAGTATATTTTCTCTCTTTTAAAAACTATTTATTTATTTTTGGCTGTGCTGGGTTTTCACTGCTACTCAGGCTTTTCCCTAGTTGTGGGGGCAGGAGGCTGCCCTTTAGGTGTGGGGCATGGGCTTCTCATTGCGGTGGCTTCTCTTGTTGTGGAGCACGGGCTGTAGGACACTCAGGCTTCAGTGCCTGTGGCTCACGGGCTTAGCTGCTGCAAGGCATGTGGGAACTTCCCAGATCAGGGATCAAACCTCTGTCCCCTGCATTGGCAGGCAGATTCTGTTTCTCTTGGGTCCCATCCCTGATAGGCTCCACTAGACAGCCAAGAAAAAGCAAAGATTCCTTGAATTAATACATGTGCTGAGTATTTACAGTCATTCCTGGCACAGAATAATCATGATATATTTGTTCAATATTATTATCTCATTTAATTCTCACAATAATGGCTAAGAGGTAAATATGGCCATTATAATCTGCTGGAACATATGCTTATGAAGGCAGGGATTGTCTTTCTGTTTTGTTCATTGTGTATCCCCAGAACCTAACAGGTATCTGGCACATAGTAGACAGTCAACAGGTATCTGTTTAACAAACGTCCAGATCCCAGTTTTGCTAGTCATGGCTTGCAGACATAGTGCAGTCTAAACAAATTCTTTAAAAAACAATTTTATAGAGAAAACTTAATCTGAAGGTTAAGAGTGACAGTTGAGGGTTTTGACTTTGACACATGGCAGACAGGTTTAATTGAGAGCTGTGCCAATTATCAATTATCTAAATTTGGGCAATTGAGAATTCCCAGGCAGTCCAGTGGTTAGGACTCCGAGCTTTCACTGCCGAGGGTGTGGGTTCAATCCTTGGTCAGGGAACTAAGATTCCACAAGCCATGTGGTGTGGCCAAAATAATAATAATAATAATAATGGGGGTAATTAACATAATCAAACTAGCCTCCATTTTCTCGTCTAAAAAATAGAGATAATAATATATATCCCATGTGTTTACTGTGAGGACTGAATGCCAGAATCTAGGTAAGGTATTTAAAAGGTATTCACTGTTTCTTTTATTTAACATGGAGCAATTTAGATATACAAAGCACTAGCATGAAAAGATCTTTCTCGTTTGATATCTATTTTTAGACCTGTAATTAACCTTTTATTGGTTTTCCAAAACAGTCTGCCCCAAAGATATATTCTGGTCTCTTTTGTGGAATAGAAAATTGCTTACATATTTGAAACATCAGCTTTTTTTTTCTGACTTTGATCAGCATCATTATGGTTTGAAACCTTCCAGATTCAAGTTCAGGATGGGTATAGGTCTGAGAGTGGTGAACTTCCTGGGTCCTCCATGGGAAGGAAGCTTCTCTGAGCAGAGTGTTTTAGGATGGGCACTGGTTTTGAGGGGATCCCAGGGCCAGCCTCTCCCTTCTGGGATGCAGGATGCTCAGGGAGCTCTCTGTTCCCAGGATCACATCCGGTTACAGTGAAGGGAATGAGCTGTACCTAGGGCCATTCCCAGGTCCTTCCTTTGAAAGGAACCACTGTAGAACATAAATACATACACACACACACACACACACACACACACCCCAAAAGACACATTAGAATTTAAACATGTGGAAACAGATGATCTGAAATAGAAATTAATGGAAATTAAATAATTATTTTCAATTACTGAATAAAATACAACTGTACATCCACAACTGTGAAGCAAAGACTTGGACCCTACCCTGAATATTAAGAGCACGTAAGGGGAAAAGGGTATGAAATGAATTTGCAATAATTTCAACATGACCAGCTCCTCTATCTGTAAGCAATTGGTAACTTCAATAGTTGTATTCATTTTTTAAGTAGGCTTATTGTAAGTTTCCTCTTTCTTGCTAGTCTTGTAAAAAATAAAAGTAATTTCAATGATTTTAGTCTTTTTTCCTCTACCAGATTAATTTTCCTAAAATACCATTTTCCTCAGATGTGAAAAAGCTTTAGCAATTTCTTTTGGCTTTCAAAACTGATCCAAATTTCTCAGCCTGGCAATCTGGGTTATTCCATGGTTGTCCAACTCTTCCAGACCAAAATTTTCTGCTTCAGCTGGAATCCTCATTTTCCCCCAAACTTATATTCGTACTCCTGCCTTGAACACCTTAACCATAGGAAATTCCAAAGGAAGTCCCTCCTCCAAGCCCCTCCGCCCGCCTCTCCCTCAATTAATTTCTTTTCCTCCAATGTGTGCTGATCTCTCACACTTTCCTCCTCCAGAGACTCTAAGTGACTCCTTAGTAGACCTGTCCCAGGTGTGACTGGAAGAAGCAAACACTGGATCCCCACAGAACCTTCAACAGCGCATTGTCCTTTCCTGAGGCAAAGAAGGGCACCATGAGGTTAATTTGGGTGGATAAATGTGAAGTTTTATGAATGGCGTCTTCAATTTTCAGATATTTAAATACCCTCTCTGAATTCAGGTCCTTAATTACTTCCGTGTGAGTGAAGCGAGTGCAAGGCGCTCAGTCATGTCCGACTCTTTGCCACCCCATGGACTATACAGTCCATGGAATTCTCCAGGCCAGAATACTGCAGTGGGTAGCCTTTCCCTTCTCCAGGGGATCTTCCCAACCCATGCATCTAACCCAGGTCTTGCGTATTGCAGGCGGATTCTTTACCAACTGAGCCATCAGGTTACTTCCGTGTAACCAAATATAATTCATAATGCAGCTTATTTAGAACATACAATCTCATTCTGAGTAAATAAATAAAGTCAGCAAAACTTTTTCAAGGAAAAATGTCTTCGAAAGGGATTTCTAAAGCTTCATCATGTTATATTTAGAAACTGGTTCTTTAGTTAATAAGTAAGCCAGAAAGATAAAGACCATTATAGTATACTAACACATATATATGGAATTTAGAAAGATGGTAAATTTTTTTTTGGTGAAATATAGTTTTAAAAACACATTGTCTACAGATGGTGTTTATCTGGATTTGGTGTCACTTAAGCAGGGAAGTGAAAAAAAGACACTTGAGAAAAAGACACTGTTTCATGTCCCTGCACACAGAGATGGAGGACTGTGTATCTTTAAAACATTTTATTTATTATTTCATTTTTATTGTGGCTGTGCTGGGTCTTCGTTGCCGTGTGCAATGCATCTAGCAGGGGCTACTCTCGAGTTGAGACACACTGTGGGGCCTTCTCTCGTTGCAGAGCGTGGGCTCTAGGGCATGCGTGCTCGGCAGCTGCAGCTCACGGGCCTAGTTACTCTGGGGCATGTGGAATCTTCCTGCTGAACCCATGTCCCCTGTACCGG